ACATTCGCATGTCGCAATGTAACGTTACTAGAGCGTTCTCTCCCCGCGGAATAAGCAAACACAAATGATCTATTTTACATATTGCATAATCACCGAGGCAAAAGCGTTCAAGCGTTCTCGTTTTGTAGCGCTGTAGAACCGCGTATTTCGGCGTTGTTTGCTAAAGCGGCGAATGAATATTAATTTATTAGCGGATGCGCGTGGCGTTCGAGGCACACGCCTCGATTTTATTTTTACTATACGCAGGTCATCGTAGGGCAAATTGATGTTAATTCCGCACGACGAAGGAAAATCCGCGGGATCTCATTGTGTTGAGAGATCATGTATAATATCCTTGAGATATTACATGTAAAAGAGGTATCTTGGAAAATATTTTTCAGACTCACGTAACTGTCGCCACATATATTTTCACTATAAGGTCCAAGATATTCTCAGAATCCATTTTGTATTTTCTCTTCGTGATTGCTATATATATTTTATTGAGATAACTTCTAAATATTTCATATAAGAGAGAAAAAGGCAAAGAGTTTTAGTTCTATAATTTTAAGAACATCAGCTTATAGAGATACTAAAGTGACGAAGTTACCGATACTATAGGTTGGAGTTAGTTCTCCGAATTGATTAAATTTTTAATGAGAAAATCGAAAAAGATTAAAAAATTGGGTATATTTAGCACTATAACTTTTTAATTTTTTCGATCTTTTTGTTAGATCGGCTATCTTTTCTGTGAGTATTTTAATTGTGTAAAAGGATTTGCAATCTGCATAGTCAATTTGAAAAATTTTTTAACCAGTAATATTGATAATTCTGTCATTTTAGGATCTCCTTATACAAAATAATTTGTGAACTGATAGTGTAACCGGGAAGATGGTGATTTTATATGAAAAAATATTGAAAACGTAGAATATAATTTTTCTATACGAGGCTTTGTTTTCGAGGAAAGAACTCGGAATCACAAATTATGAGTTGATTACTCGAGAGAAGTGCGTAGTTACTTCTCGCTCCCTGTCAATTCTTTTTCTCGAAAACAAAGCTTATAAAAATTTTTTTACATTTTCGAAATATTTTTTTATACAGCATAACTCCCTTCCCGGTGTATCACTAATTCACGAACATTTTATACAGGGTGTCCGATAATGATCGTATAATCTGTCGTAAGCAGAGCGGACTAAACTAAGTTGAAAAGTTCTCTATTGTTTTGCAATTTTCGCAGTTTTTTTTAGTTTGTTTTTACAATAAGTCATTACCTAAGCTTTAAATCTTAAGCCGTAAGAAATTGATCAATCAGTTAATTATTCTTCTCACATTCAACTATGATTGGTCAATTTCTCACGGCTTAAGGTTTAAAAGCTTAGATATAATGACTTATTGTAGAAAGCCCATTAAAGATATTTTAAAGTTGTTTTATGCTTCCACTTTAGACTATTCTATTCATTGGGTAAATAAAAAAACAAAAATTGCGAACATTGCAAAACAGTAGAGGAGTTTTCGACTGAGTTTTGTCTGCTCTATCTGCTCTCGAGAGATTATGCGGTTATCAGACATCCTGTATACCTAAATACATTCAGGAAAGTTTTAATGCATCCCGCAGATTTTTATTGTTGCGCAGAATAATATCCGTATATCGAAACTACGACAATCGATGTTGCTCTGCAACTTGAGAAAATAGAAAACCCCATCGGTTGTTTTAGTTTCGCGTTTTGATATATTTTGATACAATGGCGAAGTTCGATCATCGCCGTTCTGTCAAACAATCGCCGCGAAAGATCTGCACAAGTTAGAAGCGGACAAGATGTATTGTAAATTTAAGAACAATAGCTCATCGTGCGTTTAGCGCTACGTTTTCCTTTATTTTGCTTCTCGCAAGTCTTTTTTTTTTAATAACATAAAAAAGCACAATTAAGGTCCATTGATTTTGGCACAGATCGCGTCAAAGCTTATCGAAATTCTTTCTTGACATTTCGTGTATTATAAGGTCTGTTCATTTTAGTTGAACTTCTTGCATTGTTCTTTTCTCCTCGTCTTTTCTCGAACGTAAAAAAGAGGAAATATGAACCATACAAGAAATTTAGTTGAAAAGAGTAGACGGAAGTGAGGCATAAAATTTGGCGCGATTTAACGTTATCGGCATAATTGATTCTTAACGCTAAACGCGCGGCGAGAGTGCAGGCCTATGTAAGCACAAACACCCAAGAGGAAGTACCATTTGTACATAAAAAGGTATAATTTATTCTATTTATGGTAAAGAGGGGAAGGGGATGAAGAGAGGAGTCGGCGAGGAATCGCGCACTGTTGTTTTACATTTGAGTTGTTTTGCATGTGCTTTGGTGTCTGTCACACGCGGCTGTGAGTCGCGTGGTGAGTTCGTAATGCATTCTATATAAATAAATAAATATATATATAAATATATTCATAGCGCAGTTAGAGAGTGATAAACCGAAATCGAGATACGACGATGACGTGCGAGGCGTAAATGTCCGTTCAGGTGGTCCCGCGTAACGCCGGCGCGCGAATTCTCTCGTGCAACAATTATCGTCTCGGCTGGAATTTCGCGTTCGCCAATTATCACTTAATTAAGTTTACTTTAAGCACGGTTTATTTGCGTGCCGCCGCCCCGCGAGAGTCGACGGATTGCTTTACGGACGGTCGCGCGTCCTCGCAGAGTACCTAGGAATATATTCTTAATATGTGAAGAAGATATAAGAATTACACGGTGTCTCGTTGTATTTGTATAATAAGGTGTAAAGAGAGAGCGAGAGAGAAAGAAAGAAAAAAAAATGGAAAAAAGAATAGTATTCTCATGGTCATTGAGCGACTCGTATTTCTTAAATGATGCTACGCGTACAGGGTGCATTCTAAATTGCGTTAACGCGGCGTTAACTGCGTATTCGTATTTTTTATCTTGGCAAGATGGAATTGGGACGATCGATTCTCCGTGATTCTGTGATTCAGTAACGAAAGGAAGACGACGTCGAGAATTTTTAAAGGATCGAGCCTCGTACGAGCAGCGGAATGTCTTCGATTAAAATAATTGGAATCTGTGGATTCTGAGGATTTGCTTCGAGCTGTTCTATAAATTTTGATATGTGATCATATCGATATTCACATCTCAAATATATATGTTGATATATTCTAATATCGAGTCGAGCATGATAGCACTAATTTTCCTAATTCTAGCGTATTGATGTTCATGATGGAATTAAAAGTCGATGTTCGCGCAAGATAAGCAAGCAGAAATAAAGTGAGATCGTGAGGATAAGGGTAGGAAAAATATGACGGATTTAAAAATCACGTTTCACGCGTATCGCGAGTTATTGATATCGACGGCGTTTTCCAAGGAGAAATAATCCGTAGAGAATATCGTAAAAAAATCACAGGCATAGTGATATGGAAGTAAAAAGATGCTTTTGGACGTGTTACTTTTTATGTCGTTCAGCTCGCGGCTGTGATCATTTTAGAAACACCCATGTACGAACCCGAACCAGCAATCAACTTTGTGATAGTCTGTGTACCGAATCTGAACATCGTTAAATTAATCCCATCTCCTATAGATAAGGTGTAATAATTATTAGACTTTCATCACGTACACGCAAAGGACAAAACATATTTACTACGTCATAAAGTGATAACGAGATTGTGTTGTTCCCTGATTTGTATCATGTAGGCACGTTTAATAATAAATCGAAATATTATCTACATCATCCTCATTATTTTCACCTTTCATACTGATTTCTCTTGAGATGTTGATGTTGATGATCGATTCGATCCATTTAGAAAAAATTTATATATTAGGTGTTGGAATTAATTCGTAGCGTTTTTTAATGAAAGAATGTTATTTATTTCACATGAGCATTAAAAAATACATTAATGAAAGTACTTCCCATCACTTGTAAAACGCTACGAATTAATTCCAACACCTAATATAAAATGTTTTAATTTTTTCTACTAAAAAATTAAAAATATGCATTACATACATTGTTAGATAGGGAATAATGATAAACCAGTCTCTTGAGTTAAATAACACGTTATTATTTAACTTTTATGTGTGTCAAAATATAAAACAATCTATTTTTACGTTTAAATCCATATTAACATATGATGCACTTAATAAATAATAAACTAAATTTAAATCAAATTTAATACATTTTGTTAAATTAAATTATTTAATTCTATTGTTTTAGTTAAATTAACATATTGAGTTCGTACGAGCAATGGCGATGTAGAAATGATTAAATAACTCAAATTGAATATAATATGACATTATGAATTTAACAGTGAAGTTCTAAATTCTAAAGTAATAAAAAAATCTTGAATCTTGAACCCTGTACTAAAAAAAATTTTAATCTTTAAACCTTTCTCTATTAATCATCACAAAGATTCATCAGCAGAGGCTTAGTTGCATTCTGAACTTCACAACTTCAGATTTTAAATACTGTTTTCATAACTGTATTTGACGCTCTTTCTTAATAATGATCTGTGTCATATGTAAGACTTTTCTATACAAAAAAGAATGTTTTGCTAAAACATCTAAAAATTCAAATACATACAGATTTAAAAATAATTTTGTTTGTCTATCAAAATAATTCTTTAGAATACTCAAGTTGGTTGTTAGCAGAATATCAAAATTTTTGCAGCATTACTCATCTTTGAATTTCCTAAATTATTTTGATAGTCCAAAAAAATCATTTTCATATCTATATCTACCTATATAAATTTTTTAATATGTCAACAAAATAGTTCTTTCCGTGTGTATATATTTCTTGTAATTTAGGTAATATTTTTACATTTAGATTTAATCATATATAAAATGGTATCAAATCCATAAATTCGTTAGATGTGTTGACCTTCTTGCTAGCATACGATCCATGTGCGTCGTACGCGCACTGTAGAAAAATCTTCGTTCCTTTCGTTTTACGAAAATAGTAGCATGGCCATCCGACCTATAATTAAACGTGGCCGCCGCGTTCGCAAATGCCGATTTGTTCAGTACGATAAAGTTAGCGGCCAGTGAACGATGTTCTCGCGATGAAGTCTGACCTAATTATTTCGCTGGGGGGAATTGAATAAATTTAATAAAATAAATACAGTATATTGATCGCGCATTTAATATTACTTCATTCTCAAAACTCCTGAATTAATAAACTGTAAGTATCAAATACATAAAGCTTGAGGAAAAAACTTCCATGGCGCAAAGTACAATGCATTTCTCTTTTCTGTTCTTCTTAGCTCAATTAATTAAATTATCGATCAGATTTCAGAAGCTTTGAATGGTCAAGTTTTAATAATTAAATTCACCTGGGCAATGATCTTAAGGATTAAGTACTAGTCATGGACGGTGACCTGAAATACGGTATATGCCCGGTGTGCGGCAAAAATGCCACGTTGAAGTGCGGCAGCTGCAGACGCGAGTTTTACTGCGACAAGTCGCACCAGTCTCAAGATTGGCCGCGTCACAGGTCCACGTGCAGCGGCTGGGAAATAGGTCGCGACTCTGTGCTCGGACGGCACTTGTTGGCGACTAGAGATCTAGCACCGGGAGACGTGATTCTTACGGAGACGCCTTTGGTCTGGGGACCATCGACTCACACGAATCAACGGGTCTGCGTCGGATGCAGCGAACGGTGCGACGACATCGACGCGAGATGCAGTGAATGTTGCTGGCCGGTGTGCAGGTCCGATTGCGAGGGATTGTCAGATAAGAAGAGGCATCAGCTGGAGTGCGCTCTTCTTGCGCGAGCTAGAATTATTCCTAGGTATTATATCGGATACTTCACCTAGCGCAGATTGGATAGTAAAGTGTCTACTTCGAAGCTAAATTAGCCAGATGATGATTTAACAAAGAGGTAGCCTAGATAGCCAAGCGTTTTCTTAGCATATAAGAAAAGAAATAATCGCGCAAATTTCTCTTCAGTTGCCATCATGTTGTATTGCCACTGATAATTATAGTAATTTTCTTAACGGTAAAATTTATTGGCACAATTTAGTAAACGAGAATGAATTGAAATGGATTGAAATTTTCAAAAATACGCATTTGCGAACGTTGAAATGAATCCTTTTCAGTTCCAATGTATTTTTATTCATTCATATGAATTACATGAAGTATATTTCTATGTCTTTCAATATAAAAAAGAATTTCAGTTTTTTAAGTGCATTTTTATCGTGAATATAAAGTGCTTTATCATAAATATTGCTAAGTTCAAAGTTCTGAATAAGAAACGTAGATTTCAATTAAATCTAAAAAGAAGTAAAAATAGACCATGGTTGTTATTAAAATACGCATTCAGATTCAAATAGGGATTAAATTTTGAATTTATTTAAATCCATTCTCGTTTACTGGATAATACAATATTAGCTCTATATTGAATTATTTTTTACCCAATATATTCCTAATGTTTAATCAATGGTATCGTCAATAAACTATTAGTACTACTATTATGGTAAAGACATTATGCAGACGATATATAGTCTGCGAAAACGAGTAGAAATGCTGTAGTATATTTGTAATCATAAAAGTTATCACAATCTGTTTGTGAAGGCAATTGTTGCCTGAGTGTTGCCATCAAGCTGCTTGGTGACAATTAAAATTGAGAATCAAAAAGGTAAAATTGGAAGCCGTTTTCTTTATTATATTGAAAGTATAAACAAAATAGTTCCGAGCAAATTGAAGCGACCTACGAGCAACTTGCTTATTCTGAGAGAAAAAATTTGCTTAATTCTTAAAACAAATCACAATTTTCTGTGTTCTTTACTGCACACGATGAGTCGTTCATATCCCGGGTTAATTTTCATCACATTTACAATATGAAAATAATTAACTGATTCTTACATATATACTTTATCTTTAAAAAGCATTTATAAAGTTGTGTCATTAAACAAAAGAAAAGGACAGAAATCATTATTTAGGTTTTTAGTGTTAAAAAAAAAGAAAGAATACGAATGTCTAATCGTATATATTATAGATTAATCGCGACTTGAATCACAATTATATCGCGGAAAGTTAAACTAAAGATGTTTTTAAAGACGCTTCTCGTTAAATTCATTTACGCAATAATTTCACGCTATGCCTACAGATGCGAGGTACTTCTGATAATTCGTCTATTGATATTGTGGCGCATGAAATCGCGTCGATGGACGTCTTTGGCCAATCTGCAAAATCACGTGGAGTCGCGAGGACCCGGCACGGAGGCTCACGACGAAGTGTCGAGTGTGAGCCAGCGTCTGGGGCCACTTTTGTTGATGGCATCCGATTGTAAGGATGTTCTACCGATGATTTGTGGCCTGATTGACGTAAATGCATTAGAAACTGCACCGCCAGAAGGCTCAGTGGCAATTTACGAACATGCATCTCTTCTGGAGCATTCCTGTATCGCGAACACGCGACACAGCTTTCGCATCGATGACAAAGGCAGGCCGCGAATTACGATATACGCGGTCACGTCTATTAAAAAGTACGTACATTATAATTAATCAATCTCATCAAAAATTATTCATCTCTCTGGTAAAAGAATTTTTTTATACTTTAAGTTTATGAAGATTTCTAAAAAAAATACCTTAGATAGATTTTGTAAGATTTAAAATTTCATAATATATATTTTCTTAAAATTATAAAATAAAATATCTTTAAAATTTAAATATATAAAGAATTCTTTTTAAAAAATATAAACTTTTTTAACACTTCTGAAAAGTTTCAATTTGTATAAAAAATCTAAAAAATTTTTTATGAAGAGAGTTATAAGAATTATTTATTATGCAGAAATTCTAAAAAAATTCTAAAATTTATATAGAAGATTTTGAGACATGATATGAAGAATTCTAAGAAAAAATTTTCACCAAAGCTATCTTGTGAAAATATATATATATATTATTGTCATCATGCATTTCACGACTGATATTTCCAGAGGGCAACATTTGAGCACCATGTATACGCATGCGCTTTGGTCCACTAGAGCCAGGCGGGAGCATCTCCTTACCACAAAATACTTCGCTTGCCGATGTAAGCGTTGCGCTGATCCCACAGAATTGGGCACGCATTTAGGCACCCTTAATTGTCCTTGTAAAAACGGACTCATGTTGCCAAACGATCCTTTAAACCCAAATACCAACTGGTCCTGTGACGCGTGTCCAGGAACAATAACATCCGCGGAGGTTGCAGAGCTGATCGACAGACTGGAGGAAGAGGTCGTAGAAGTCATGAAGCAAGCAACTGAGTGTACTCTATCCGAACTTCTTTCACGGTATAATATTATATTTCCGTTTAGTTCTTTCGTGACTTTCATTAACATTAATTCCTGTCGCGTTAATTAATAATAAATGACTAAACCGTGTAAAATACTAGAAAGTCGTATCCATATACGAAAAAAACGATTTTGCTAAAAAATATATATTAAAAAAATTAGTTAGATACAAATCAAACAAATAATTTTATTGGACCATCAAAATAATTATGTAGGATGTTAATTAAAAAGCAGATTATTAGAAAGTCAAAACTTTTGCAGCATTATGTTTAAGCATTTTACGTAATTATTTTGATGATTTAATAAAATTATTTTCATATCTATAGCTAAATTTCTCCAGCTTTTTTAAATATATCAGAAAAAGATTGAACAAAAAATTTTGTCAGTGTATCTTTTGCGCTACATGAAAGAACAGTTTTTCTTAATTATCTAAAAATTTAGCTAAATATATGTAGATCTGAAATTTATCAAAATAATTATGTAAGACGCTCGAGTTAATTATTGAGGTCAAAACTTTTTGCAACATCAATATTGAGTTTTCTACATAGTCATTTTAATGATCTAACAATTCTAACAAAATTATTTCCAAATATGTAATCTATCTAAATTTTTAGATAGATACAGATCTGGAAATAATTTTGTTAGAATTGATTAAATTTATTATTATTTGAAAACTCAACGAATTGTTTAGGCTTACGGTATTGCTGCATCCCGGTCATCAGCATTGCATATCCGTGAGTCACTCTCTGATACAGCTGTTGCCAGCAACCGATTCACGAAAGTCGGAATTGTGTAAACGCATCATGGACACGGTAAGCCGATTGGATCCGTACGGCGCTCGTCTAGCGCTTTACACGGCAGTCACCCTGCGAGAACTCGCAATGTGTCCTGGCGAGGATAAGCGAGTTCATCTCGCTAAAGCAGCCTTATTGCTGAAGGCGGAACCACCGAATTCACCCGGAGAAAGGCTTCGCAGACTCATTGAAGTGGAACTCTGATCTTAACTCGTTGCAGCATGGTAAAAGTAATTATATTTTTGTTATTGTACAATCCAACATATAAAACAAGGAAGGATTCTTATAGTTTTTACTACAAATGAGAAAGTTGCGCACGCTAGATTCGCGCGAGCAACAATTGCTTATTTGTCTGTCTAAATTTTTATTTATTTATTTTCTCAATTTCAAGTATTATCTCTATTCACAACTACAGATAGCCGTAAAAATGGTAAAAATATTCATTGTACTTATTTAGAGGGTAAAAGGAGTACGTATAAAAAACTTACAACTATATAAAGAATGTATACATACATGTTATACAAATATCAAAATATATGTATGTACTTGTGGTCACTCCGCGTTTATTGCGGATGTCGTATGTGTGTGTGTGTGTGTGTATTTGTATGGTTAAACGTGTCATAAAATCTAGACTAGATGACTGTACCTCTGCGATTGAACGTAATCCTTAAATCCGGAAGTAACTTCTCGTCGTACGTATTATTTTTACAATGATCTGCGCTTCCGCGAGATTGGTTGACAAATAAACTTAATAGCGAGATAAAATTATCATATGCGAAAATATTACAACAGAAAAAATGTTTATCGAGCGAAATCCGTTTTAAATGGTCGTTTGTACTTATTTAAGTAAAATTTAAAAACACCAAAATTTTTATACAAAATACTAACGTCGACACGGTTTGCGTGTATGTACTTCGATAGATCTCTGCCCAAGTAGAACAACAGATTCTGATAACGTCAAAATGACATTAAAATGAATCGTAATCGAAAAGACTCTTAATAATTATTTTGAAGCTATTTTGACGCCATTTTGATGTCACGATGATTCTTTGTTCTACTTGAATAAAATTCACGTCATTGTTAAGATAAATGATATGCACGTCCAATTCTCTAAATCTCGTGGACGTTTCTTTTATGGTATACATTATTTGATGAGATAGATCTAAAAGTCACCAACAGTGCTCTCGCAGACTATCGTCTCATCGGTCTTATAGTTCGTTTAATAGGAATCATGCGGATTACGCGGTGCAGGAACGTCGTGTGCGTACACCCAGCAGCGGATAGGACAAGGACTGGCCCTTCAGCTGCGCTGTGACTTGCAAGAGGTAAGCTTTGCCAGGTTGTAGCCTCTTCAGAGTGAACGGCAGCGCCCGGTCCTTCGGTGGGTTTCGTTTCTCCTCGCAAACCTCGAATGTGTACTCGGATCGCCTGCGCCGATGAAGTCCGCACTGATCCGGCACGGTCGTAACACTTGCTAAGGACGACGAACTCCGCAGTTCCTTCACCAGGATGCAGTACTTTGCGTCGCCGGCTGGGTCCACGCCTATCGTCACTTCGTGACATGTTCTGAGAGATCGGTACTCTCGCGGTGGATTCTTGGATGGTATCTGTGTCAAAAAATGCGACGTCCAATTCGTTTTTCGAACAAGTTTCTGATTTTCGAGATTCATTTGATAACCAAGAAAGGCGATCGAATTTTATGCGGCTGTGAATATTAAGTATAATTGAACGAAATTATCTCCATTTTTAAGAAACATATCACTCTCTTACTTTAAAAGTGACACAACTAAAAAGTAATAAAAAAAAGTGACAACTAGTAGTTCTTAAATCTTTCGATATAAATTTATTACATATCCAATTTTGCAAACTCGCGTCGAAATCTTTTTCAGTCTTGAAATCATAAAATAGAACTAAAGTTGTAATATCACATATTACATTGACTAGCGCAATTGATAATATTGATGCCAATAATAACAGAATTTCTCTTACTTAATAATAAAAATTAAATTTCCTAGAAAAAAGAAAGAATTATTTTTTATTTTTTTGATGGAAAATTAATGACAAATCAAATAATACCGACAAAAAAAATATTTTCTTAACACGATCAAATGTCACCTTTGTCATTTTCATTTTGCAAAAGATCATAAGTTTTTTTTTAAGTTGTAATAATTTTAACGATTTTTTATGAAGTAAAGTTAATTCACTTTTAATGATTGATAGGATAATGCTCACTTAATTCTCATAATAATAACTCTAAAATCATGTATTTTGAGTTGTGTTACTTTTGAAGTAAAAGAACGTTATTACTTCTGCATTGAAAAGGTATCGAAAGATAAAATAGAGCATAACGGAATCATTCACAGTTGTTATCCTAAAGGAAATATTAGTTTGCACAGTCCGACATACTTGCGGATAAATGGTGGACGACTCCTGCGTAGCTAGCACTTTTATGGTGGATACTCGAACCAGCTCCTGCGGTGTAGTCGATATACGCAGAGTGTACGTCTTACCGGGAGGTAAAGGAGGTACGCGCAATGAGGCATATCCGACCACCTCT